ATACATATATATGTTCATATATATAAATATATATATATATATATATATATATATATAATATTGTTCAGCCCAGTTTGTAATAACAAAACATAGGAAATAAGAGGGGAGCTGGTTAACTAAATGACAGCACACCCTTAAATGGAGTATTTTGAAGGCTTTAAAAAGAAATGCTTCTGTGGTTTGCAATATCAAAAGAGCATCCAGATATATTTTTAAGAAAAAGTAAAAAGTAAGGCACAGGACATTGTGTATAGTGTTACATTAAGAAAAACATCTAGGGCCGCCCGAGTGGCTCGTTGGTTAAGAGTTGGCTTGGGAGCACGAGCTCTGAGCAGCAGGGCCACCGGTTCGGATCCCACATGGGCCAGTGACGCTGCGCCCTCTATAGCTAAGATGGTGAACAACAGCTCGACCTGGAGCTGGGCTGCTGTGAGTTGCCTGCAATGGTGTAGGCTGCAGCCCCTGCTGCAGTGGGCTACCATGAGCTACCATGAGCAGCCGGCAGCCGGCGTGAGCTCCCTTGAGCTGCGATGAGCGGCCATCTAATGGCTGGCGAGTGACTGCCTCAACCAGGAGGAGCGCAATGATCACAATACCAACACAGGCCAGTGAAGCGACGTCCTCCACAACTAGACTGAAGAACAAAAGGACAGCAACTTGTCTGTTCCCCTTCCCCGATTCTCCAACGCTGTTCCCTCCCCCAATTCCCCAATAAAATCTTTAAAAAAAGAAAAAAGAAAAAGAAAAACATCTACATCTACAATTATAAACAATTTTTATTTTTCTGGAAAGACAGACAAGAATTTGTTGGTGATGTATACATTTTGGGAAAGACCTGGGAACAAACTAAAGAGAATTCCTATTTACTATTTATACTGTTTCTCTTTCTAAAGTATTTGAATTTTCTTATGATGTATGTGTAACTCATTTAAAAACAAGTCAACAGAAGTTAGCTGAGTAATGAGATAATGGGTCACTTTTCTATTTTTAATTTTCTATATTGAAAAAAATGTGTAACATAATATTAGAAATAACACATTTAAAATGGTGAGTTTCTAGGCTTATTTTAAGTTACAAAACATACACTGAGTCCTGGCTATTTGATTAGATATTTTCCTGTCTAGGGGCTATAGAAGTTTAGGCAAGATGGAGGGGAATGCTGGGAAGGTGCCAGCAACACCACTAGGGATTTTTATGAAAAGATTTATTGTGTGTGTTTCTAACCCATAACCAGATTGGTAGTTAATATTGCATATGAATAACTGGGGCTCAAAAAGTAAGAGTCAATCAATATTTAGTAGTAAAATATTAAAAATTAGGCCAGAGAGTAAGGAGTATTTAAAAGAGAAATTTACAGCAAAGATGACTACTAACAAAAGATCTGGATTTTAGTCCTGACTGTATTCCAGATCTTGTTATCTCATCTTGGAGAAAGTAAACCAATACTTTAATTTCCTTTTCTACATTTAAAATAACAGTGCAAAGATGGATGACCTCGATACCAGGTGAAAATTTCTCTGGCACAGAAATATGTTCAAATGTACACATTGTTTCTGGGCCCTTTTAACACTAGCCTGCTTTTCTTTTTCTTTCTTTCTTTCTTTCTTTCTTTCTTTCTTTCTTTCTTTCTTTCTTTCTTTCTTTCTTTATCTTTTTCAGAATTTTTATTAAAATATAGCTAACATACAATATTATGTTAGTTTCAGGTGTACACGATAGTTTTTCAACATTTATATACCTGAAGAAGTGATCACCATGATAAGTCCAGCAACCATCTTACACCATACTATGCTGTCATAATATCATTGACTATATTCCTGTGCTGTACATTACATCCCCATGACTTGTTTAATACCTGGAAATTTGGACCTATTATTCCCCGTCACCTTTTTATTCCCCTTCACCTTTTTAAATTTTTCAATTACAGTTGACATTCAATATTATTTTTATTTTATTATTATTATTTTGAATTTTATTGGGGAACTCCTATGGTCATTGGTTACATATTGCTCTCATGCTACAATGGCATAGTTGACTCTTTTAGGAAAGGCATAGCTCACAGTGACCCAGGCAGGGATCGAACCGGCAACCTTGGTGTTATCAGCACCAACTGAGCTAACAGGTCAGCCTGGCATTCAATATTATTTTATATTAATTTCAGGTGTACGACACAGTGGTTAGACACTTATATATTTTAAGAAGTGATTCCCCCAACTAGTCTAGTACACACCTGGCACTATACATAATTATTACCATAATATTGACTAAATTCTCTATACTTTGCTTTACATCCCCATGACTATTTTGTAACTACCAATTTGTACTTCTTAATGCCTTCACCTTTTCCACCCTGTCCCCCAAACTCCCTTCCATCTATCACCCCAGTAAATCTAGTACCCATCTGACACCACACATAGTTATTACAATATTATTGACTATATTCCTTATGCTATACCCTACATGCCCATGATTACTGTGTAAGAACCAATTTATACTCTTAATCCCTTCCCCTTTTTCACTCACCCCCAAACCCCCTCCTGTTTGGCAACCATC